TCAAGTTTCTCGCCAAATTAGTTATCTCCTTCCACAAACATTCGAGATTCCAACATCATCTGTTCTTGACCGCTAGATATTATCCATCAGGCGTACGATGTGTAACATCAATTCACAACATTTGTCTTATAGGCGGAAACGCTCGGGAAACTGGACTGAGGGCCGAAAAAACGCCTGATTCATTTTCAACAAAGGCGAGAAGGGCAGCCGTTTCGCATGAATGGGTGCAGAAAATTAGTTATCTTCATGAAAGGAGAAAACTCATTAGCAAGGGAACGGGAAGGATTTGAGAAATTGGAAAATGTATGACCAAAAACCAAAAGGTGATAAGTTGAGAACCAAGTAAGAAAAAACTCACATGTTTTGCTGCAAATACGGCAACAACAATGAATACAATCTTCGCGATATGTACTTCCGTAAATCGCCATATTAGATCGATCAAATCATTAATCCCTCGAACGAGTTTTGCAGATATAGTTGCTTCTGAACAAAGACAATACAAAGTACGAGTAAAAAAAAACTTGAAAATCTATGCCCAGCACTAAGAATTTTCAACACAAAAAAAACTTCCGCACTCTCGTCACTTGCACGCAAAGCTGAAAACTTATTCTTGCATTCTGAATATTTACAGCAAGACACGCACTCGCTCTCAAAAACCTTCAGAAGGGTATTCATTGCAGAAGGCAATAGAAAAAGTACTAGTTTTAGAAATTTTCCGATGAGAAAAAGGCTCTTCGGTGTAACCTGCAGATCAAAATTCTCGTAGCTTTTTCATGCCGAGAAATTTGATAGATTAATCAAAGTTTTTACATCACTATTAAGCAACTTCTGGAAAAACCATCCGCTTCCTATTGCCTTCACCTATTTGCAACATATCAAGATCAGTTTTTTCAGAGCAAGCTATTTCCACATGATTGAGCACCTGTCGATCGGATGTATCACCACTCAATCTTTCGCCAACACTTTTCATTAAACTGACAATTCCAGAAAAATTCTGGGCAAGAAAGAAGCAACTAGGGCAATCTAAACTTTCTTCCCAATAGTGGATTAGCCTCTGCGAAAATATAACATTGTTTCGTGTCAAAATTTTCCTTTTTTTTTTGAAAGTACAACATTCGGTAAGTCAAGAAATTTGAATTTTTCCTTCTTCCTTACTTTTTTCGTAGAGTGAAAAACAATGTGCGCTTTGCAGAATCTCATTTCCCCATTTTAGGGCTTTACGGTGCAGTATATACTACACAGATCTATTAGCCTTATGTTGACTGTAGGTAATGCGAGTAGTGCAATTACACAAGGTGACTGTTGACATAAGGAGTACAGTGGATATAGTTAACTGAGCAAAAGGAGGGCTGCATAATGCAAAGTTCTTTGAAGGACGAAAGTGAAAAAAAACAAAGAATTTCTTATTCAACCACATTCTTTATCACGAAAAACTTGAGACTGACTTTCGAACTACTGAACAAATAGTTATGTATTGAAAAAAATAAGTGCTTCTTACAAAAAAAAACTTTTGTGAAGAAAAAAAAAACTCAAATGTTTTCTTCTACACGCATTTGAAGAAATATTTTTCATAAAATTGAAGCCAAATAACAAAATCAAAATTAATCAAATCAAAGGTCATCACACGTATTGTTGACTCATCACATCTACCTGTGCTCTCGTCTTTACCCTACCCCCAAGCAACCCAAAGCTTACCCCAAGGTTTCTTTCTTGGTCCATAACTTTCAAATGGTCTCGCTGTAATTATCGGTGTGGTCATATCATCTCCATAGTCGATGAATGGAAAATCATCGATTCCGGAATCAGTTGAGCTGACCGCCGACGAGCTCATCACGTCTCTAGTCAGCGGTCCTTTCTTCGCATTCAACACTTTCTGCGCTCGAGCTGCGCTTCGTTTCCGTGCGTTCGCTACGAATTGGTTGAAGTAGAAGTCGATGATGTGCACAACTTCAGCATACATGATTAGTAGCAATTAAAGGACGTAACGGATTACAGTAACGACGACCACAGAATGTACTAGTCAGAATAGGGGACTAGGCAGGGGGACTTCAATCATGGCTTCTTTTACAACGTCTGGCGCGTCTTTCAGCTCTATCATTTCGCACCGCCCCAGGCGCTTAACGGAGCGAAATATCCGCGGCCACCTCGGACAACTGGCAAAAAATTCCGTGGTGGACGAGGGAAAGAGAGGAACAGCCGTCTCAGTGGAGTTTAGGTTATGTTTATCGGTTCTACGACTCAATAAACACTTTGAGATTGTCGTTCGACTATAAATAAGCCGCAGATTGCGGATTTCACATCAGATGTCCGTCAAGATCAGAATATGCATAAAATCAAGAATAGGGATATAATAGGCCAGCAATTCATGGGAAAGTGGACATGAATGAAATGGGATATCTCCAAGGAGAAAACGAGCAGCCCACGAAAAAATCCTATACATAAAACATTTAGTGTAATTGATATAGCTCCAAGTGGCTTCGTTTACACCCATCTAAAATTTTTAATAGCTCTGATTTCCATTTCTTCGTTGGTTTTCGATTTACAAGTTATCCATTTCAAGAAAATCCAGGAACTAGAAGCGAAATCAGATTTTCAAGCCGAAGATTTTTTTCTTCACTCTAACTCAATCTGAAATGCAATTTCCCAAAATTTTCTTTCATTTCTCCAAACTGCTTCAAATCGAGGTTTTCCGGTTTATTGGATTCAAATTCAGTTGGAGAAACTTCCAGTGAGCCAGAGAAAGCAAAGCCTCAACGAAAAATCAGTCAGAGATCGGGAAAAATTTAGGCTTGCCTTATTTCCAAAATAATTTGTTACTTTGATAGTCCATTACCATTTCACTTATTCAATGAAATTTTTTGCGCATCCTATTATATGATCGTGAGAAGCTTATAACATCTGCTCCACGAATGCGGTTGCCCAAATAGGTTGAATGCATGCAAGGTTGACGCATACGCGGCGCGCGGGCAATCCGTTGTGAACCATGGGGCGCGCGCACGCTCTGTCAGCCTTGCATACCTTCAACCTATTTGGACAACCGCCTTCGCGGAGCAGATACTACAAGATATGCATAGGTTAAGCTTCGTTGATATCCTGCGAAATAGAGCTTTCACTGCCGACGAAAAAGTTTTAGCACTTAGTCATAAAAGATTGTTGTATTACTGGTGGAAAAAGACTGAGTGGAAAAAACAATGCAGACAGCCTTACATGATGATCACAAAATTGTAAGTGAACTCGTCAAGATTAGTAAAATAAGAAGCAAAGTTCTACAAGGTTAAAAAAAACATAAGCTAGCTTTGCAGTTCTCGGGTTATAAAGAAATCTAATTTGAAGAACGAAAGCTCAAGCAAAAAGAAAAGAGCGCTCTCTTGCTGCAAATAACACAAAAACTTTCGTTATCATTGTTGCTATGACAGTGAAAGCAAAGAATCTGAGCGAAGATGGCAAAACGATTGATCTGACAAGCAACTTTATGTCCGACATTAGCAATTCAACACACAATCTTTCCACATATAAAATCAGAA